CCAGGGAAACCGATAATGCACTTTTAACTGGTTTGGGCTGCGCCGAACGGGACTTGTACGACTTTTAGTGCGTCTTTAATCACGTTTACTCAAAAGAGACACTGAAGACGCCTGATCGATACGTTTTCCTGATTGACATAATGGAATAATTAATTGATTAAAGGCTCATTTACGCTTTAAGTTTTAGACACGTAGAGATGCTCAGACGCCACGTTTACATGAGCAGTGTTGGGAAGGTGACTTTTAAAATGTAATCCCCTACAGATTACGGATTACATACACCAAAATGTAGTTTGTAATGTAATCCATTAAATTACTTAAGGTGAGTAACTGTAAGTAATCTGAATACTTTGGATTACTTGATATTGTCATGTTTTTAAAACTACATGAATGCAGCAACGACATCCTGAAAATTCTTGTTTGTTCTCTTTAAATTGTCTGTTGAGTCCAAGTCTCCATGAACAAGAAACTGTTTACTGTAAAGTAGCAAAGACCAGGAAATCTTAATATAAGATGTTTTGTCCTGTTTTTAGTTCCTAGTTTAGTCCTGGTTTAGTCCTGGACTGGTTTAGTTCTGGTTTTAGTCTTAGTTTAGACCTGGTTTAGTCCTGGTTTTAGTCCTGGTGTTAGTTCTGGTTTAGAGGCGCACAGGAGAACGGTGGTGTCTGCTCCGTACGGAAGGAGACGTGGGATTTAGCCCAAAATGTGAAAATGTGATAGAAAAATCCCTCTGTGTAATCCATTTATTTCAACAAAGTAACTGTAATCCAATTACCACTCACTGAAACAGTAACTGTAACTGAATACAGTTACTCAAAATTTGTACTCTGATTACGTAACGCCGGTAAATGTAATCTGTTACTCCCCAACACTGTACATGAGAGATTTAACTCAGAAAAGAAACCATTTAATTCTGATTTTTAAATTTTTCCTCGAACATGTAAATGTTTATCCAGGCTGGTGTCACCTAGTGCCTCCGCTCAATTTCATTTCTCTCTAGGGACTATATCAGGAATCAAAATACACTAGACGGTTTGCAAAAACTCCGGAAGTGCGAGTTCGGGCACCAGCCAATCAGTGAAGAGTGATATATTCTGCGTTGCCAACGATTCCCGAGATCGAGGATTTAAAGCCGGAACAAAGAGAATGTTTGGTGAATTTTATCAAGGGGAAAGACGTTATTGTCCTTCTTCCTATGAGATTTGGGAAAAGCTTCATGTACCAGTAGCTCCTTTAGCGGCGCATTACATACTGTGATAGAAATTTAGATTGTTGAAAGATTCATTCTGTCTTTGTGTAAATGAATGTGATTTCTACCTGAAACCCAGACCAGTCGTGAACATGTGTAAAGGTTCATCAGACACAACTGTCTCCTCCTGCAGGAAGCCCTCTGTTCTCCTCAACTGTGTGTTCATTTAGCACCAGCCTCTGAAACCAAAGTCACTCTGCTTTGACATGTATGTAACTTGTATTTCTGTATAAATACTCAGAGCTCAAATGTTCTGGGGCAGATACTCGGACAGATACTTGGAGGATGGGGCAAGATGTGGTAGGGACATAGTGCTGGTGGAGAGAGGCAGGGACTAGGCTCTGTCCATATCTGCTGTAACAAGAATAAACCTTGGTCTATATTTCAAAAACTCATCGGGCTTTGCAAATAGATTCATTATTTATCTTCAAGAGATACATCATTTTTGCCACAACAATATGTCACGACCAAGTAGCAGCGATTGGTTAAATGAAAAAAATCAACGTCAAAGTGAAAGGCACCAGCTGTTCACCAAGAAACACCTTCCACTGCAAAGAGACCAAGACGTGATGTTGCTGTAAAACCACAAGAACAAGAAAGTGCAGCTCAGTCTGTTTGTCTTCTGCACCTGAACCCCAAGAACATTTTTTTCCTTCCCGCTCTCTTGAGGCGGTGTCAATCAGACCCAAAAATGTATTTTCTCGTCTGGCAAGAATTTATTTTCAAATAAATAAATGAATTTATTTTCAAATAAATTCTTGGGTCTGATTGGAAAAAAAAAAATTTCCTCGGAGTAGAGCGTGAGGATTTTGCTTTGTTGTCGCTCCACATACAAAATGTTCGCTGTAAACTCGGTATTTCTTAAGGGCCGTTCACACCAAGGCGTCAAAACGTCCACTTTCAATGTAAAGTCGATGTGGACGCGCGACTAGAGCGTCCTGCATTTTTGAATCTGGCGTCGACGCGGCGCGTCTTGAGCCTTTTGGCGTCAGCGGTCTAGACGCGCGACCAAGGCGTCAACGTCAAGAAGTTGAAAATGCTGAACTTTTCGCGTCACACGCGCCGCGTCAACCAATCAGGGACGAGTATCCAGTGACGCAGCGACATTATTATCAGGAAGCAAGACCCGAGAACCAGAACGAGAACCACAAACATGAACGGAGAATAAATATATACACCACAATCACCGAGCCGATCGCGAGGACTACACCAGGACCGGACCAGGACTAAACCAGGACTAGACCAGGACTAAACCAGGACTAGACCAGGACTAAACCAGGACTAGACCGGGACTAAACAAGGACTAGACCGGGAGTAGGCCGAGACTAGACCGAGACTAGACCGGGACCAAACCAGGACTAGACCGGTATTAGACCAGGACTAGACCGGGACTGATCCAGTGACATTAGTGGAGTATAAATATAAACACGCCCCAGTCGTCGACCCGATCTCCTCCGCTGATGTTTTATGTCATAAAAACACTCTGTCAGTCTGGTCTGACATTGTTTCTGGAAAAGACCAGGATCGGGCTCTTGTTTCCAGGGCAACGGACGCGCGTCAAGTATTTTTGTCCCGTTCGTCCACGGCGTCAAAGACGCGCGTCGAGGGCGTCTAAACTCAAATGCAAAGGCTCCAAATAGAGGTGTCAAGGCGTTTTTTGACGCTTTGGTGTGAACGGCCCTTTAGACAGACAAATGTTTCCTTTTTGGTTCTTACTGTGGATCAATCCTGCCCATCACCTTCACCTTTCACTATTTTTCAATTTTGTTGGGAAGAGAAACAGTTTGAACAGAGGTTTGCAGTCACACACATCTGATTCACTTTTGCATTTATGGAGTTTGCAAACTTCTGAAGCCCATTTCTCGAGTCGTTTTCCGCTGTTAGGATCCAACAACCACATAATTACGATGTCCGAATCCCAAAACTAAAATATGACAATATCAGAACCAGAAACAAAAGTGATATGGTTCAAAAGACTTGAAAAGATCGACTTTGTCAATAGACACATCCCCATTTTTAATCACTCTAAAACCTAAAACGATGGAACCCTTTTCTTTTTCTTACAATGTATTTTCAGTTTCTGGTGACTCGTTCAGTTTTATTAGTTGAACTGCAGCTGTGTCGAGTTTCAAACAGGTCTTTAACTCTTTTAAGAGGAGCTCGGAGGTAAAAGACGAGATTACGGAGCTCAGATTTCCATCCCGCGGAGACAGACGAGCGTTTATGACCGTTTGAACGCTTTAATTCGATCTGTACGACGCAGACCGACGCAGTTACAGGTTCTGCTCTTTCAGAAAGGCTCGAGTCGAGGCGAGACGGACCACGGCTTTTCTCTGAGACTTTTGAGTTTTCTAAAGCTGAACCAAGTCCGAATTGAAAGATCAAAACGGAAAATCAGTCAATCAATTCGGGCATTTTTTTTCATTAACCGGCAGCAGCAGAAGAGCACAGAAGAAGTTAGTGAAAGGTTCAGTGAAAAAAATTAGAAATTCTGTGGTTTTTCATCATTTGGGCGAAGAATCTGTGTGTCATTTGTTCATGTGTTTTTCAAAATTAAACCAAAAATGAGAAATTGAAAAGAGAACTATTTTCTTCATTATTTGTCTCCAAAACCAAAATGAAACATTTTTTGATTTTCGATTTTGTGGTTAAATGAAAAATGGAAAAAATGGATAATGGCTGAACCAGGATTAAACCAGGACTGAACCATTACTGATCCAAGTCTAAACCAGGACTAAAACAGGACTGAACCAAGTCTAAACCAGGACTAAACCAGGACTAAAACAGGACTAAAACAGGACTAAAACAGGACTAAAACAGGACTAAAACAGGACTGAACCATTACTGAACCAAGTCTAAACCAGGACTAAAACAGGACTAAAACAGGACTAAAACAGGACTGAACCAGGACTGAACCAGGACTGGACCAGGACTGAATCAGGACTGAATCAGGACTAAACCAGGACTAATGTTGGACTTGAGAGAGAGAGAACCCTGAGACCGTGAAGCAGTGTGACACTGTCTTATTTCAGTCCTGGTTTAGTCCTGATTTAGACCTGGTTTAGTCCTGTTTTAGTCCTGGTTTAGTCCTGGTTTAGTCCTAGTTTAGTCCTGTTTTAGTCCTTGTTCAGTCCTGGTTTAGACCTAGTTCAGTGCTGCTTCAGTCCTGGTTTAGTCCTGGTTTAGTCCTGGTTTAGTCCTGGTTTAGTCCTGGTTTAGTCCTGGTTCAGTCCTGGTTCAGTCCAGCATCACAGTTTAAGTCACGAAAACGGGAAATGGTCGTTATTTGTTTTTTTTTTTTCATTATTCTTTTAAACACAAAATTGAAAACTGAAAAAAACAAAAATGAAGGAGACAAATAATGAAGAAAATAATTTCTTTCTCTTAAATCTTATTTTTCGTTCGATACCCGGTTGGCCCAGCTGTTTGAGTGTGGAGAGTTTGTCCACTGAGCCCAAGTCTGGGGGTTCGAATCCAGCTGATGAAGGCTGGTCTTGTGTCCTTGGGCAAGACATTTACCCCCCTTCCCTCCATCCTCTTCCTGTTCTTTGATGTAAAATGTTTTGAGTGGAAAAGTGCTGTGTAAAAATGTCATGATTTTCTGTTTCCTGTGAGGCGCTTCCATCTCGAGTATGTCCTCCAGAAAAGTTACTTAGTGCAGCTTTAAAGACACGTTTAAAAAAAAAAAGTTTAAAAGACTTTTTTTCGTTAAATGTCGATCTAATGTAAATGTTTTTGTTTTGTGTTGCAGAGATGCAGAGTCCAGAGCAGCGCTGAAGAAAACTGAGGTCTGACACCATGGAGCCTCCCTCTGAAACCCAACAGGAGCCAGACAAGACTTCAGTCAGTTTAAACACACACACACACACACACACACACACACACACACACACACACACACACACACACAGACACACACACACACACACAGACACACACACACACACACACACACACACAGACACACACACACACGACACACACACACACACACACACACACACACACACACACACACACACACACACACACACACACACACACACACACACACACACAGACACACACACACACACTGACACACACACACACACACACACAGACACACACACACACACACACACACACAGACACACACACACACAGACACACACACACACACACACACACACACACACACACACACACACACACACACACACACACACACAACTACACGACCAATTCAATTTAAATTTCGACTGAACACATTTTCAATTTGTTTAAAATCGACGTCGCCTCAAACTCTTTTATTTTTCTTTAATTCTTAATGAGTCATTTTCACCAAACACTGGAGTCACATCAGGATCCTGGACGCAGCATAAAAACTAGGCTCCTCTTCCTCCTCTTTCTTCTCTTCCTCCTCTTTTTCCTTTTCTTCTTCCTCTTCCTTTTCCATCTTTCTCCTCCTCTTCCTGCTCTTTCTTTTTGTCCTTCTAGTCTTCCTCCTGTTCCTTCTCCATCTCTTCTTCCTCCTCCTCCTCCTCCTACTCCTCTTCTTCTTTCTCTTTTTCTTCTTCTTCCACCTCGTCCTCTTTCTTTTTCCTCTTTCTGCTCCTTTTCTTCTTCATCCTCCACCTTTCTCCTTCTCTTCCTGCTCTTTCTTTCTTTTTGTCCTTCTGTTCTTCCTCCTCTTCCTTCTCCACCTCTTTTTCTTCTTCCTCCTCCTCCTCTTCTTCTTTCTCTTTTTCTTCTTCCTCCACCTCGTCGTGTTTCTCTTTCTCTTTTTTGTTTTTCTGCTCCTCCTCCTCCTTTTCTTCTTCCTCCTCCTCCTCCTTATCCACCTTTCTCTCCCTCTTCCTGCTCTTTCTTTTTTTCCTTCTAGTCTTCCTCCTGTTCCTTCTCCATCTCTTCTTCTTCCTCCTCCTCCTCCTCCTCCTTCTCCTACTCCTACTCCTCTTCCTCTTTCTCTTTTTCTTCTTCCTCCTCCACCTTTCTCCTTCTCTTCCTGCTCTTTCCTTCTTTTTGGTCCTTCTGTTCTTCCTCCTCTTCCTTCTCCACCTCTTTTTTTTCCTCCTCCTCCTCCTCCTCTTCTTCTGTCTCTTTTTTCTTCTTCCTCCACGTGTTTCGTCGTGTTTCTCTTTCTCTTTTTAGTTTTTCTGCTCCTCCTCCTTCTCCTTCTCCACCTTTCCCCTCCTCTTCCTGCTCTTTCTTTTTTTTGTCCTTTTCTTCTTCCTCATCTTCCGCCGTCTCCTCCTCCTCCTCCTCCTCTTCTTTCTCTTCTTCCTCCGTTCGTTTTAGACCTTTCGTGATCAGCCGTGTGAGGCGTTCTGTATCCGTGTTTACTTTTCCGTGTTTTCTTTCAGATTTAATTGAGTTTAATGAGTGTTTGTGCTTCTGGCGTTCAGTGAGAAATACTCGATGATAAGAAAAGAGACGGAGAAGTGAAACGGGACCGGGGCTGTTGGCTTTTTATCGATTTATCAGTTCATGGAGTCCAAAAAATGTATTAATTTTGGATTATATGAGGATTTTGACGGGACAACAGCAGAAAGTGACGTCACTGAATGAGTGGGCAGAAGATTTTGTATATTTTGGTATTGAATCACAAGTTTAATGTCTTTATATAAATACAGTTTTTCCTGGTACGTTTTTTCCTGCGTAAATAGTAGTTTTTGCATGAGCTCCCCCTGCAGGTGTCGTGTTGTCACTGCAGTTTGGGTCAGATACATATATATTTTTATTTTAGTTTTGAGAGCTTTTGCCTCATCCCCGTTTTTTGAAAAATATTACAACATATGTCAAAGTGCTGTTTCTATAGATTAGGTAGATATTTTAAAGCCACACTATGTAACTTTTCCAATGGAGCACTTCTACCATGCAAATGTGATTACTAGTTTGCTGTTTTAGGTCTAAACCAGGACTAAACCAGGTCTATAACAAGACTGTTTTAGGTCTAAACCAGGACTAAACCAGGTCTATAACAGGACTGTTTTAGGTCTAAACCAGGACTAAACCAGGTCTAATCTAGGACTAAACCAGGTCTAAACCAGGTCTATAATAAATCTCCTCCAGGTCTAATTTAGGACTAAAACAGGTCTATAACAGGTCTAGTCCAGGTCTAATATAGGACTAAACTAGATCTAAACCAGGTCTATAACAGGTCTATTCCAGTTCTAATCTAGAACTAAATCAGGTCTAAACCAGGTCTATAACAGGTCTATTCCAGGTATAATCTAGGTCTACATAGGTCTAAACCAGGACTGTTTCAGGTCTAATCTAGGACTAAACTAGGACTAAACTAGGTCTAAACTAGGTCTAAAATAGGGCTAATGCAGGTCTAAATCAGATCTAAACCAGGACTGTTTCAGGTCTAATCTAGGACTAAACCAGGTCTATAGTGAATCTCCTCCAGGTCTAATATAGGACTAAAACAGGTCTATAACAGGTCTATTCCAGGTCTAATGTAGGACTAAACTAGATCTAAACCAGGTCTATAACAGGGCTATTCCAGGTCTAATCTAGGACCAAACCAGCTCTAAAGCAGGTCTATAATGACTATACTCCAAGTCTAATCTAGGACTAAACCAGATCTACTAAACCAGGTCTATAACAGATCTACTCCAGGTCTAAAAGTGGACTACATCATTTCAACTGTAGTTCTAAACAAAAAAAAAAAACAAAAAAACGAACCAAAGGAGGAAGAAAAGTGAACAAAATAAACTTTAAACTAGGCAAACCTTCAGACTGTCGATCTGTCCAATCATCACCTGAAGGAGCCCTGCGCACCACACTTTGAGAAACACTGCTCTAATTAAAGGCGGATGGGAAAGACCCTGAGAAACGCCCTCAGCTCTTCTGTTTCTCCTTCAAAGAGCGGAGAGTTTGGTGAAAAGGATTCTGGGAGATAACCCCCACTGTGCAGATCAATACACCTCCACGGCAGAGGTCAGAGTCATCGATTACAAAGGTCCCGACACGAGGCCCGAGGGTTTTACAGCTAAACTAATGAGCCGCAGTGTCATTGTGTCCTTGGGCAAAACACTTACACCTGTGATTTTGCTCAGCAGCTTCTCCTCTAGTCTTGATTTGAGTCAAACGAAACGGAAAACTCTCACCAAAGTTCTCGTAGAGGCGCTAATTAGGGTTTGGATTAGGGATGGGCATTCGAATTTTTAATCGATCGTCCGATCGATTATCGACATCCGTTACCGACAGCAGCAGTGACCGAATCTGACCCGAGTCCGACAGGTATTAAGATATTTGTGTCTGAACCTGATCCAACCTGACACAATTAAAATCACACTTTTCATACATTCTACTAATGACACACGGAGGATATTGTTTATGTTCCTCTAACGGACACACAGACGCAAAATACAAACTCGGGATACAGTGAAAATAATGAAGACTTTATTCCTCACCTCTTGTAAAACGGTAAATTTAAAGTGCAGCGTCTCATCCACATTATCCATAGAAATTGTCCTTTGCAAATAATGACATCCAGTCCACAAAACAAAAAGCTGTGAATCCTTTCTTTAAAAGGAAAAAGGTGGGAGTAGTTCCTCACGTGTGTCTGTTTACATCCACACGGCGCACGGATCGAGGTGAAGCTGCAGATGAGTGATAGTGACTCTACTTCCTGTGGACTTTATCTCCAATATTTTATGCTTTAAAAATCCTGTATCTGAAGTTTTGTACCACATTTCACAAATAATAATAATAACACAGTTTTGACTTGTAGCTTAAATAGAAGTGCAGAGTCTGATCTTTTGAACACTTAAGAGTCTCAAAGCGAGTGGTTTTACTGGAGTCAGGAAACAGCGCAGATGTGTCTGAGTCCGACCCAAACCCAAACATAAGTTCTAATATTTGTCTAAAGCCGTCAGGTTCGGTCGGACTTTGGTCGGATTTTGGTCGGACTTCAGTCGAACTTCAGTCGGACTTTTGGTCAGACTTTGGTCGGACTTCGGTCAGACTTTGTTCGGACTTTGGTCGAACTTCAGTCGGACTTTGGTCAGACTTCGGTCAGACTTTGGTCGAACTTCAGTCGGACTTCGGTCAGACTTTGGTCAGACTTCACTCCGGTTTCCAGGCTCTAGTGCAAATACAAGGAAAAAAAAGAAAGAAAATAGAAAAAAAAATGCAAAACACACTCAGATGTCTAATGTCCAAAAGCTTTTTTAAATTTTTAAATAACATTTTGGCAAAAAAGCCTTCGTCAGATCATTTTTCTTGCTTTGGACCACAGGTTTTAGAGCTCAAAAATACCTAGAAAAACAGACGTTCTGACTGTGAGTGGAGTCGCCTCTCCACAGATCTGACCTGTAGATTGTTCTGGTTTTGTTTCCATGAAGATAAAAAGGTTTGTGATAGAAATTTAGATTGTGGAAAGATTTCTCTCATTCTGTCTTTGTGTAAATGAATGTGATTTCTACCTGAGACCAGACCCCCACAGGAAAACACTGATTATGATTGATTACATTAAAATAGTGATTAGTTTATCTTTTAGAAACACATTTGCTCTTGTAACTAAAACTCATTCGGCTTGTTAGAAAGACCTTCAATGTAAATACTTCTGTTCCCTTTTGCTTGCTAATCATGTCAGGAAGTGACAAATGCAAGTGAATACGGAGCAAATCAGATCAAGCATCATCATCTGACCACACCTCAGTAGAAGTCATCACCTTCTCACTTTGACATGTATGTAACTTGGATTTAAATGTAAATACTCAGAGCTCAAATGCTCTGGGGCAGATACTGGAGAGATACTTGGAGGATGGGGCAAGATGTGGTTGGGACATGCTGCTGGTGGAGAGAGGCTGTTGGGCTTTGGCCAGGTCAGGACTAGGCTCTGTCCATAT